CTTTCTTCCCTTCTCTCCCCATCGCTCTCTCTCTCTCTCTCTTTCTTCCCCTCTCCCCCCATCTCTCCCCCTCTCTGCCCTCCCCCCTCCCCTTCGCCCCTTCGCCCTTTCTCCCTTTCTCTTTTTCTGTATTCCCTCTACGTCCCAATTTGGACCGCTATACTGGTATAGTATCGCAACCCTTTAAGATGTCACTTACGGGCAAAAATCTCAGCCTTATGTTGTATGGTTACAACAACCCATTGTGGTGTTATATTTTGATATATTGATAACAAGCCTTCCTGACGTCATAATAATTTTTGTAACAAACCATAGTGACGTCATATATTGACAAGAAACCTCCCTGACGTCATATAGATGTATTTGTAACAACCCATTGTGAGATCATATATTGACAACAAACCTTCCTGACGTCATAACAATTTTTGTAACAAACCATCGTGACGTCTTATATTGACAACAAACCTCTCTGACGTCAAATAGATGTATTTGTAACAACTCATTCTGGCGCCACATAGTGACGACCAGTAGTCACGTCAAACAGTGACGACAACCCATCCTAACATAGTGACAACCAGTAGCCACGTGACTACAACCCATCCTACCATTACATAGCAGCTGCTGTAACATTCCATTTTGAAGTCATATAGTGACAACAACAACCCATCCTGACGTCATATTACATATTATAGTAACAACAAGCACCCATCCTGACGGTATAGTGACAACAACAAACCATCCTGACGTCATATTATAGAAACAATAAGAACCCACCCTGAAGTCATAAGAGTAGTAACAACAAGAACCCATCCTGACGTCACATAGTGACTGCAAGCCGTCCTGACGTCACATAATTGAAACAACCCAATACGACGTCACAAAGTGACAACAACCCATCTTGAAGTCAAGCACACACAGCTATGAAGTCACTGTGAGCTTTCCGTGTGTATATTACATGTATTATGTTCCTAGGTCTTCCACGAGGTCCCAACAGTGACCAGGTTGGCTGGGGAACCTTTGACCTTCGTGACCCTTCGGGCGTCCACCTGGTGCTGCAGGTCAAGGTAGGGAAGTACTGTCCCCGTCGTTTAATGCAAGAAAAATGTTGAAATTATGCAAACTGAGCCAAAAGATGTGAAATTATGCGATTCTGTTAATTTTAACAAAGAATGATAAAGGAAAATAATCAGAAATTATGCAAAAAATGTTCGGGAAATTATTCGGGGTGCATAAAACCACGGGGACAGGAAGTGGGTAGTTGGTGGTTCTTCTGATGCGGCCTGCTCTCTCTTTCCTATCAAACATCTATCGTCACTGGTCTCTCCCCAATCTTTTCTTTGTACTTTATTCTCTTGTGACACCTTTAATGTTCGGCACTCATATGATCCGATTGTCTTGCAAGTGGCGTAAGACCCTTACGAAAACTAAAAGATGCATTTACTATGTTAACCACCGAACGGGGTAGGTGGAAGAATGTGGTTTGGGGGAGGGGGGGGGTGGAATTGTTATATTTTTTTCTCTTTAGTTTGAATGAAATTTGTTTTATTTATTTATTTTTATTATAAGCCCCATAACTATTTTCCATGTTGTAACATATTTTGTTTCTCTTTAGTTTGAAAGAAATTTGTTTTATTTATTTATTTTTATTATAAGCCCCATAACTATTTTCCATGTTGTAACATATTTTGTTTCTCTTTAGTTTGAAAGAAAATTGTTTTATTTCTTTCTTTTATAAGACCCATGACTATTTTCCATTTTGTAAAAAAAAAAACAGTCTTGATTGTTTTTGTTTTTGTTGTGCTTTCGCTCGGCCAGTTGTACTGTGCCGACACCTACTTCGGCCCCGCCTGCACCCAGCGCTGTGTGCCTGTGACGTCACAATATTACTGCAACGAAACCGGAAGTCGTGTGTGTCTCGGACAGTGGACGGGCCAGTTGTGCGATACTGGTGGGTGAACATCATAAATAATAATAATAATAAATAGCATTTGTATAGCGCATATTCCCGCTCTACAGCAGGCTCTATGCGCTTTACACACTATATTATTACCCCAGCACACCATAGAACATTCCGAAACATTCTCAGCTTCCCGGGAAGTATACAGTGCAAGCAGCTGATTAAGCGCTCAAACACTAACAAACTGACAAGATCTTTCGCTGTCTATAGCCGGGTGCCCATTCCCACCTGGGTGAAGTGAGGAAAATTCGTGTAAAGTG